GGGAGCCAGGGGGCGTGGCCGGTGGCTAGCTTTGTCTCAGCTCTGGTTTCTGTGGTGAGGCCCCTTTGCTTTAGGAAAAAGCAGAGCTTTTGTGTGTAGTTACGGAGCATCTCAACCGCTGCCATCCTGGCGGGGTGTCTCCTGACACTCGATCGGAAACTGCCCTCCCTGCTTGTGCTTTTTCTGCAGGAGAGATTTGAAACAAAAAATCCAAGATAGGTGACCGGAAAAAAACCTCATTTCCCATGTATGGCTTTATCCCTGACTCTTATCCCAGAGTCAACGTGTTCTCCAAAATGCCTTCCAGGTCCCAAACTGTGCTTTCCAAACTGCTCAACCAGCAAATTAAGATCGTAGTGAAGAAAAAGGAGGACCAGATGGAGCATTTGTTTTGTTTTAAATAAGATTTCATTTTCTTGTCATTGTATTAGTGGTTTAGGACTAGATTTCATGTAGTCCAGGCTACCTTCATACTGTTTCTGCGGCCTCGAGTACTTTGAAACTTTGACCCTTATGCCTCCAATCCAGGGCCATCATGCCAAGCAAATAGAAAGTTCTGTGCTCTATTACTACTTAGCTGAAGCAAACAAACAAAGCAAACAGAAAACTAGCTCTTTTAGCCCATCACAAGTCCTCACTTTCCCCAGACATAACACACTTGACTATGTAAGATTATGATCCAAGGATTTGCATATAATGAAACTGTGAGGCTAGCATACTTTTTCTTTCAAGACCCAATAGTAGTATTTTAGTTTTTCCAGATCATGCTGTCCCTGTTACAGTGTTTAATTCCACATTGTAGCACAAAAGAAGCCACAGAGAAATGGAGAACACATAAACATATGAATGCAGCTGTGTCTATCAAATGTTAATTAAAGTAATTAGGAGGTTGGATTTGACCAACAGGTTATGGTGTGTAGACCGCTGATATAAAACTTAAGCTAAACAAGTGTCTAGTAAGTGTTAAACTCACTTCACTGGCTACGTATGTGAATATGGGCAGTAGTAGTCCATCCGGTTGGCTATTTCCCTCATGGACAGATAAATAGGTTAAAGATACTTGATGAGTTCACATCATATTTTGGCAAAATGAAAAAGGCAGTTTAAAGGACAGCTTGGTGACATAAATTGTCTCCAAAAATGGTTTTCAAGTAATTCTCTTAATCCCTAAACACACAAAAATGGAGTCTGTTTACCTTATTTGGAAATTTACCAGGAAAATGTGGCATTAAGAGATCCTGCAAGTTATTTTTTTCTCTTAGAAATCAGCAACTTAAGAAAGTCTAATTACCCTATAGAAAAGCAAAATATGACCAAATTCTCATTGTTTTAATCACTCCAATAAGGTGCCAGATGTATGAATCCCAGAGTTTCAACTCCTTGTCTTGGGTCCAGGTGAGTGCACAATATAAGGTAACCTAACCAGTCAGCAACAGGACCTAAAGGAAAACAAGGTGAAATGACTTTGGTTTTGAGGTAATGACACAGTGTATCTCAGACCTCTCAGCCTGGAAAATTCACCAAAGTAACAGCGCTTTGGGTTTTCATAGAGTTCTCACAGAACAGGTCTACATCACTGCTACTGGATAGAGCAGTGTTAGTGGGTCTTCAGCCAAGTATAACAAAATAGCACAGACTGCTTAAACACCAGGAACTTGTTTTTCACATTTCTGGAGTCTTAGAAGTCCAAAATCAAGAATCAATCAATTTGGCTGCTAATAAGGTGTCTGTTCCTAGTGGTTTTAGGTGGATGGATGCTTTCTTACTTTTTTCTCACTTGTATCAAGAGAAGTAGCACAATCTCCCCTGTCTTCTATAAGGGGCCTGATCTTCTAATGAGGACCCTTGTGGCGTCCACCCTTGACCAGCAAGGAGACCCTACTCCTGTAATCTAAGCATCCCCCAAAGGCCCCATCTCTAAGTGCCAGCACATTGAGAGCAAGTAGGGAGGAATCAACCAAACACCCTTTCCACATCAGTAGGGTGCTTACTAGTGCATTTTGAAGAGTGATCCTTCACCGAAGGCAATTCTACCAGTGCTGCTTTAAGTGTGGGTAATTAAGATTGTGTCATGTTGACAATTAAAGCTAACCATCACAGAATCACTGTAGTGCTTAATTATTACATCAGTTCATATATATTTACTTAATTTTAAGACCCTCTTCTGTTTTTAGCTTTGCTTAATCTTTACGCCTTGTGTACCATTTTAAAGAATGTGACTTAGCAAGGCCCAGGATTATATATAAAATCTTTTGTAAAAACACCTAAATGGACTTCTGTAGAATCTCCCCCATGTCTTGGGATTGTATACTGTCCTCTTCCTACGTGCTCTCTGTTAAAATACTTAATAAAAACATTCACTAATTTTATTTTTCTCTGGATCCTACTAAAACTCCTTTGTGCTTCATAGTCCAAGACCTGACTTTACTTGGAGGACAGTAAATTCCTAAAGAGAAGGGATTGCTGCTGACAGTATTAAGCAATACACTGCTGCTGACAGCCCCACCTGTAAGTAACTTCACCTACACAACAGCGTTATTCAATAGAGAGGGGAAAGGAAATTTCTACAAATATGAAAATCTTAAAAAGACTTTTAAATAAAGGACAAAAAAGTGTTCTGATTTCTGTTCATCTCCACGGCCTGAGTTGCATTCCACAGTGACCCCCAGCTGGCCTCTGCATCCATCCTCACCCATGGGTTTCTCCTGCCCATTTTCCATTCAGCAGCCAGAGTGATTTTGACAAGGGGGCAGCACAAAGTCAATGTTAACTGACACAGTTGCATTCCCGTGTCATGAACTGCACTCTGAGCTGCTGGCCTCTCAGGAACTGTGCCTTCAAGGTTCCTCCTCCCACTGTGTCTTCTAGCCTTGAGACCTCTCTGTTGTGTGATATTTTGATCCAATTCTGATGCTCTCAAGACTGACAATAAAGTTTGCTTTGAATCAGATGGTGGAGCTAGCTACTAGCTGACCAAAATAGCCATAGAGGTTTTGGAGGACTGAGGACAGACCCAAGAAGTAATAGGGTGGGGCTTAGAGAGGGGGAGAGAGGGGGGAGGGAAAAGGGGGAGGGAGGGAGGGCGAGGGAGAGAGGAGGCCACTGGTCTCTTCATCACTTCTCTGGTCATTCAGGTTCTTACCCCAATGTCTGACTCCCAAGTTTTTATTGATAAAGAATAATTAAACACTTCACGTCTCTCCTCATCTCTCCCTATGCTATGATCCCTGTGCGTCATACACTCAAGTGACACTGGATTCAAACCCCCTCCCTCCTACAAGACACTCGTCTCAGATAGTTTCGTGATTCCTTCCCTAACCTGATCATCAATTCAGGAATGCCTTCATGTTCCAACTGATACAAGACCACATAGCCCAACCTTGACCTGTCCCCTCTCCCGAGTCAGCCTCTCAGGCATCCCAAATTAGATGTCACATTCTCTATGTTGTGATCTCTTCTAGTCTCCTCTCGAGGATGCAGATGTCATGAAAGCAAGATCACTGTTGTTGACGGTGGTCACTCATGGCTAACCCTGACTGGGGCTGGTAAGAGCATGCCTTGATTTTTAATGGTTTTAACAATGGTCAGCCAAATTTATTTTTAAATGAATGAGTAAGCAAATTAGAAGGATTTATGGGAGCCATCCCCTGCACAAATAAGGCACATCACCGAGAGTTATGGGGTAGAGACTATATATTAAAAATTATTAAAAAATTAAGTTGGTTTAAAAGACAAATGTGTCCATTAAAAAGGAAAATAAATAAATGAACTTTGAAGTATACGTTTAATAATAGAAAAGTACTTGAGTTTTACGGGCCCTTGGAGTGATAGCTAGGCTGCTAAAGACTGGACTCACAACCAAAATGTGAAGAATAGAATTTTAATATTCTAAAACTAAGTTGGACCTGGACTCACAACCAAAATGTGAAGAATAGAATTTTAATATTCTAAAACTAAGGTGGACCTGATGGTGAATGTGTGTGTGTGTGTGTTAAGGTGGCACTTTGCAGTTCTTTTAAGAGTATTTAAATAATAGTACCACCATAAAAATTAATAATTAATGCAATGTTTTTCTCCCTGGAGTGCTGAAGAAAACAGCCCTTTTTCATAGATGACAAAAATGTGTTTAAAGATGACACAGAAAAATAATCCCATCTTAATATGTTGGGGAATATTCCTTACACTATGTGAGGATGTGTCACTGTGATTGGTTTAATAAAGAGCTGAATGGTGAATAGCTAGGCAGGAAGATGTTAGACAAGACTTCTGCAGACAGAGCTCTGGGAAGAAGAAAGGAAGAGTCTCTAGTCAGACCCAGAGCAAGCAAGACATGTAGGAGGGGAAGTAAAAGCTACAAGTCATGTAATCTAAATTGCAACATGTAGGTTAATAAAATGGGTTAATTTAAGTTATAAGAGCTAATGGGACAAACCTAAGCTATAGGTCAAGTTTTCATAATTAATAATAAGTCTCTGTGGCATTTTGGTGAGCTGGCAGCCCAAAGAAAAATCTGCCTACAAAATAGCCTCAAGAAAAATAAACTT